GCTGAGAAATTACCATGAAGACAACCTCGTGCAACACTCACAAGTTCCCAAGGCAAGAGGTTGAAGATCACGCAGGATAAGGGGGTTGAGCTGGATTGAACCCTACTCTCTCCTTCACCCACATATGTCATTGTCAATCAGAGCCCCTCATACCTCTCCGCCCCAACCTTAGAGCTGGAGGCCTCAGTGTTCAGTGCAGAGCCCAGGCATATCAGCAGCAGGCATTCTCAATCTCTTGCTTTTCTTTCCTCTACACAATGGTTTCTCCAGCTCAGCACAGCCTTGCCTCGGCTGCTCACCTGCATGCCCTCAATGGCTTTCCTTTCCCAGGGCTCCATCCTCTCTAGGGCATCAGTCCTCGAGTCCCTTTAAAAGGTTTCCTCTCTTTTGTCTTCTTCCTCTTCTACTTAGAACAATCCAGGCTTCTAGAAACCCTTCCATCCCATCAGCTTCCACACCTTGTCTGCCTAGCTCTCCCCACAGATCCAGTACATGCCGACTTTGTTGCTAAATTCTAACTCAATGACCAACCTAAAACATTTTTTAGTATGTCTAAATATCATTCAGTCTAAGTAGTTTGCGTGTCAGTATTTATTTGATTTGGGTACATTTTTCTAGATGCCAGGAGCTGGCAAGAAATAAAAATTTAAATTTATCATCACCATCATCATTATTACATTTTAGTTTTTTGAGACAGGGTCTCACTGTGTAATCCTGGAACTGAGACCAGGCTGGCCTCAAAGTCACAGAGCTCCTGTATCTGCCTCCCAAGTGTTGGGATTAAATGTGCATCACCATGACCAGCTTATTTTTCTTTCTTTCATGTTCTAGAAAAGCTTAGATAAAAAAAAGTTTATGTGGCCTTGGTGGGGCACACACTCGTAATCCCAGCTGGCAAAAGGGAGGTGGAGGCAGGAGGATTAAGGGTTCAATATTGGTCATTCTCAGCTATGTTAAGTTCAAGACCAGTCCAACCTGGGGCTCCAGGAGACCCTAGATCAAACAACAATAGCAAATAAAACATCTGCAAGATAGATGCTTAAGACTGGAGGCAATCAATGACCTATGCTGGCATAGGGAACCCTGGCTCTGATCCCTAACAGCAGGTACCAAGTTCTGCCAACTGAGCCCATTGTGCTAGAAGCCCTTCCTAACCTCTCATAACCAACTGTGTCTAACTGCTCCTCTCCACTGGAATCCCACGGAGCTGGGCTCTTTGAGTTCTAGTTGCCTGCTAGCTCCCCTTCAGCCCCAGGGTGCCGCTTGCACTGCTAACCCTGCCTGACCTCTATAGTGCACAGAGCACCCATCCACTCCACAGCCAGGCTTTCTGTAGCCCAGAGAGGGGTAGGACTGGGAAAGGCTACCTGTGCCTTCATCTGTGACTTCCTCTCCTGGCAAAGGAATCCAAAAGACACTGGTCTGATACTACTTTCTTCCTTCCTGAGTTGTGATTGCTGCTAACCAAAAGGTGATCAGAGAAGCAGGCAGGATGAAGGGTCAAGTCATTGCTCAAGAGAACTGAGCACTCCTGAAACACCGTTTGCGGTTAGACTCCCCTCCCCCACCACGGAGAAATCAGATTAGGAGTGCAGAGGCGCTGGATTTTCATTTTCTGAAATCTGATTTTTTTTAAAGCGCTTATCTAGGACATGGTATCTTGTCCTTGCCAAATACCCACTTGACTCAGAGTGTTTCCATGTGGTAATCTCTCTCCTGCCACCTCGGCACTCTGATTGCTCGTCTGGGGTAAATCCTAACAAAGCAACAATGCTTAAGAAATCCGGCCAGTTTTCTGCTGCTCTAAGGGACTGTCACTCTTCAAGGTCTTACTAATGCAGCTTTTCAATGACTTAGGGCCTGCCTTCAGCCAAGCCAGTGGGAGGGACAACTTCCTGGAGGAGATGGCAGATGATATGAGGGATTCTCAGGATGATGGGAAGAACATACATACATATATATGGGGGGGAGGGATAATTTTACTGCATATATGTCTGTGTACCATGTATGTGTCTGGTGCCCAAGGAGGCTAGGAAAGGGCTTAGGATCACCTAGGGCAGGGGTTACAGTGTTCATAATCGCTGAGCACATCACTTACACATATCTCATTATCTACATGTAGTTAAGAAGCCTTAGCAAATTCAAGGGAAGCTGGGAAGTGGAGTCTCTATCCTTGGTATTGAGTCAGAGAACCTATAACTAAGGAAACACAGTAGAATGATACTGGGGATAATAGTGACACCAACTCTTCTCTCATCCAGTTTGTGACCACATCCTGGGACACCTCATTCCTGGTGCCTTTTCCTAGCCATGCTTAATTTTATCTCCACTCTTATTGCTTTATACCACATGGCTCACAAGAGGCTCCCAACTGAACCCCTTGCTTCTAGCCTCACCTCTGATTGGCTGCCTGTAGTGTTTAGCAATCTTCAGCGGCTTCCACTACCTATTGCGAGGCCTCTCCATCCCCTGCCGGGACTGAACCCAAGAGCCTCGAACATACAAGTGCTCTATGCTTTAGCTACATTTCCAGCCAAGCAGTGGGGCTTAAAGGTATTTTTAAATTGGATTTATTTATTCATTTGGTGTGTGCAGTATTTGTGTGGAGGATAAGTTTGCTGGCTAGAGGACAACTTGCCAGAGTTGGATCTCAACTTCCACCACATGGGTCCTGGGAATCAAACTCAGGTCATCAGGCTTGGCAGCAAGCACCGTTACCTGCTGAGGCCCCAGCAGTAGGATTTTAAGAGCAGAGCTTAGCACACACATGTGTGTTTTTCTGAAAAGAGTTTGGATTCTTGAAGTAGTGTGTGAGATAGCCCCCCTCAAGTTTAGGCTCAAGTCTAAATCCCTAATATCAAAATACAATAAACAAGACCATATGTCTTCCTCTCTCTCAAGTCTCATCTCCCATGGACTGAAACTGAAGTCATCTGAAATCCTACCACTGTGGGGACATGGGGCTTTCCTCATGCCACATTTTCAACCCTGCTGCTCCCTCTAGAACACCCAGGCTCTCGCCTCAGAGTTCTGCTCAGAGTCTCTTCCATGAGGTTTCTCTGGCTGTGACAATCTCCACAGTACTTCATCCCGGAGCCCAGTACAGGGAAACGTGAAGCTCTAAAGGGCAGGGGTCCTTAGGTCACCTGTGGGCACATTGTCAATGGTAAGTAAGGTATCTCTCCTGGGACCCAGAGCAGCTGCCACAGATGCCTGTTCAAAAACCCGACTTGTTCCTGCTCTCCAACGTCCTTTATCCAGCTGTGATCCCTTCTTTCTCCTCCTCGACTCACTCCTACCATCTGTCACAGGGCCTCCCCAGACTCCAAAACTGTGGGCTAATAAACACTCTCTTTTTCTTCCTAAGTAGCCTTCCTTGGGTATTTTGTCAGAACAAAAAGAAATTAGCTAATATAGGCCTGTATTGCAAATTCCCAAGAATCAAGAGCAAAGGCATTCTGTCAATTGAGAGGCAACATTTTAATTTATATACAATAAGGGCAGACCAGAGCTGTGCTACTCAAAGCTTGGTTGTGGCCTGACTGCACCGGCATCCTCTGGGCCTAGTTAGACATACAGAAACTCCGGCCTCATTTCAGACCTACTTCATAACAAGATCCCGGGGCTGGATACACATTAACCTTTGCAGAGCATGGAGCTAACATTTATTAATGTATGTGTCTACTTTTACATTGTGTTTTGACATTGAAATAAATCCTCTTAAACCCTTTTTTTTTTTAAAGCTCATCTGTTGCTCCAATCTTTCCATCTCTGTGCAGCATCCACACGTGGGACTTTGGACCTCTCTCACCAGTCACACTGTGGGAAGAAGTTTGCTGCAAGGTTTCTGAAGGCGGTCTTTCTGGGTTATCATCTGGATTCAGAAACTTCTACAAGCAGTTTCTTACAAAGAACCCCCAAAGGTAGGATGTATGATCACCCCATCCTGGAGATGACAGAGTTGTCACCTAAGAAGGACTGGTGACTCACTCAAGAGTTATCAAGCAAAGAGGCATTCCAGACCAAGTGAGAATTCTTGCCTTTGAGTTTTCAGTGTTCAGATCCCCAATTTTGACATCCTTCCTTTTATATAGATGATTTTATGTGCAGGACCCAGAGGATATGGAAGCATAGGGAAGATTGGTCCCTGGAAGAGGGTTCAGTCCAGAGAGAACTATGTCCTTCCCTGGCTGTCTGCTGCTGAAACCCAGACTGGACTTCTGTGCAGCCAGAAGCCTGGAAGTTCTCAGAGCCAGTACCTGCTCATAGGGTCCTTGTGCTTCCAGAAATGGCTAAGTGATGCCAATTTCTACAGTGACTCATTCCTAGCAAGAAGCTGGCCAATTCATTTGTTTCTTTTATAAGGTTGGGAACAGCTGAAATAACCCGACTCCACCAACAGGCCCCTAGTGTTAACCATTGGATTGGATTTCCTGCTTACATCCATAGAGGAAATTGAAGCCATTCGAGTACTCAAAAGTGTCATATGTTGACATCACTGGACTTCGTCCTACCTTGCCTAAATTTAGTTTCCTCTCTAGACATGCATATTCAGTGGGATATATTTGTATATATGCTTGATCCAAAACGAAAAGATAGTGCACTTGAAAATCCCATGTAAAAAGTATTGCTTTTCTACTGTGCCAGTGTGCCCATACCCACCTGCTTGTTACACAGGACTGCAAAAACAGTCACAAGGAAGTCAAGGCTGAAGATGTTTTGAATTTCTGGACAACCGCACTGCAGCCTGCCCTCTGCACCTCACACCCTGCTCTGAAGCCTGTGTAGTTTGGGGTGGGGGTGGGGTAGGCTTGGCCTAAGGCAAAAAACTACTAAGCATCCTAATGAGCAGAATTGTATGACGGGAATGTATTGTGCCTATTTGACATAGCTTCTTTTGAATGGTGGCCCGCTGCCTGTGACCCTGGCCCTCTCTAAGGGCAAAGGAGGAGTTCAAAAAAGGAGCCTTTGCTTCCTGGCTGTCACTGCTTCTGCAGCTTCTACAGCCCCAGGGACCTGCCCTGCTCCGAGTGGGCCTGCAGAAGCTCTGCGATTTCCACATGGGCAGGTGAATTCAGAACGATGGACAAAGCTGTTCGGCCAGCCTGTGGGGAAGAAAGAAAAAAATAATCATTCCAACTGCCTTGTAGTCTCAGTGAGACGTGTTGAGAAGAATGTTCCAAACATATTAGACACGAGGGGCCCTTCCACAGAAGCACTCAGTCCTGGGAAGCCTGCACCAGTGGGGATGGAGAAGGGGTTGCCAGACCCTTAACACAAGACATTGGAAAATATCGGAAAGAAAATAACCTTTCTGATATATCCTAGCACACGGATCTAAGTGAATGTTAGCATTCCAGTGTGCTTTCTTCTGTGCAAATCTGTTGCTGGTGTTAAAGCAGAGAAATGGAAGCAGGCATCTGTCTTGAATGCCCTTTTATTGTAACTTACTGCGGTGTGCTAGGAGATGGTTCTCCACTGTTAGTCTTCATAACTCATCTGTCTTATTCTAACAGCCCATAATGTACCAGTGATTTCCCACTTGTTGGAAGCTTGTTTGTTTCTATATGCTCACAAGTCCTAAACTCAATGAAAAATCTTTTTCTCATTATGTGTGTGTGCGTGTGTGTGTGTGTGTGTGTGTGTGTGTGTGTGTGTGTGTGGTATCAGCATGTTCGTCTATGCATGTGCACATGTGTGTGTGTGGAGGCCAGAGCTCAGCACCGGGTGTTGTTCCTCAGGCACTGTCTACCTTGTTCATTTTGTCTGTCTCTCCAATGGCCTGGACCTTGCCAAGTAGGCAAGGCTAGCTGGCCAGTGAGCCTCATTACAAGCATGTGCTACAATGCCCAGATGTTTTTACAGCTGTGGCTTCTGGGGATTGAACTCAGGTCCTCACGATTACATTGAAAGCACTTTAGGGACTGAGCTATCTCCCAGCACCCCCATCATTGACTGTTTCCTTAGGAGCAGAAGTAAGCAACACTGTACACATTGACAATTCCTGACTTGAAGTTGCTGCAGCACTTTCTCCACTGCAGGACCCGCTCTGCAGAGAGCTTGAGTCCTGCCATCTAAAGAACCTGGCCCTATGGCGTTCTCCTTAGGCAGGGCTGCTATTGGCTGTACAAAGATGGCCTTGCAAACTACACTTCTCTTGGTTACTGACTTAGAGGTAAAATCCAGCCCAGGGCTACCCTATGTTACTATCTATTTTGCTTTCACTATAACTGTATAGATGCAGAATTAGCTTCCTGAGATGGGGCACATCTTTCAGAGGAGCAGGTGGGACATATTAACATGTCAAGCACTGTGGGTTTCCCCCTTGGCAGCAGGATGGGACCCAGCTGCCACTGAGGCTCCAAAGCCATTTGTAGTCCTGCAGCAGAGCAAGAACTGAGAGGGGGAGGAGCTCCGAGGGAGGAATACACTGTTGTTGTTTTCAGCAGAGTCTCATAGCCCCCACACTGGCTAGGAACTAGTTGAGGTCAAGGATGACCCAGAACTCCTGTTCTTTCTGCTTCCACCTCTGTGCTAAGAGTACAGGCCTGTGTGCCACCACCCAAATCAGTGAGCAGCGCTGGAGCTCAAACACAGCAGCCTGTGACATGCTAAGTCAGCTCTCTACCAACTGAGCTACACTCTCACCTTTTTGCTTTCTTTCCTTCTTAAGAGTGTGTGTGTGTGTGTGTGTGTGTGTGTGTGTGTGTGTGTGTGCCCGCCAGCGCGCGTGTGTGCATGTGCTTGTGCATGTGAGTGCTCACAGAGCCAGAGCCTCTGGGGCTTAGGGGAATTGTGAGCCACTTGATGTGGGTACTAGGAGCGCAAGAGAAGTATACACTCTTAGCCTCAAAGCCATCCCTTGCTTTCTTTTGAAACAGTGACTTGCTATGTACCCCAGGCTAGCCTTGAATTTGCTGTGCCACCCTGCCTGCACTTTTCTATTTAGGCTGGAATCTGGGAGATCACTTCATCAGTTCTGGTCTCTGTAAGCTCAACAGCTCAGTCTGGCCTGGACCCTGGAGCTTCCTGGCACAGGTGGGTTGCCTGCTCTTGCTCAGCCCTAAGCATTGTTGTTGAAAGCTGGACTGCCAGGCAGAGGTGTTTGGTTCAAGTTCATAAAGAAGCCAAGCAATCCTAAGGAGTCCTTTCTTCTACTGAGCAAACCTGGAACAAGGCGCAGTTTTTAAAGCAGGGAGTCCCCACACTGTTCCCGGGGAGGGCTGTCCTCACTCTGTCCTCCAAGCTGGCCTTTGCCATCCAGAGCTTTATGTAAACAGTGTGTGTGTGTGTGTGTGTGTGTGTGTGTGTGTGTGTGTGGTGACTGTTACCATGGGAAAGTGCCACAGGGCTGGTCCCAGAGGCTATGCATTTTCTGATAGATTCCATCTGGAGGTGACAGCCTCCATCTGTGAGCTTCTCAGCTGAAGATGCAGAGGATGGAAAGTAGAGAAAAAGAGACCACCTAGGAAGAGAGCATTCCTTAAATGTAAATGCTTCCTGCAGCGGAAGGAAGGATGAATACGCAGAGGCCCATGCATCATAGCTGGGTCTAGTGAGCCCTACTTAACAACACTGCAGGCTGGGTGCAGTGTTGTTAAGTTAAATGCACCTGACTGTAAGCTGAAGAGTGGAAGGTTTGCACTATATAGAGTGTGTGTGTGTGTGTGTGTGTGTGTGTGTGTGTGTGTGTGTGTGCTGAGGTGGAGGTGTCTTTCAATATGACAAGAACTCATGAACCCACTACATATCAGGTGAAAATGAGCAAGGCATTTCCCTCAAAAATGTTCCCATTTGATGGATATTCAGAAACATCTTCCAAATACGGAGAAGCTGGAAACTGGTGCTCAGGCCGCACTACTACAGCTCATGATCAAGTGACAAGAGAAAGTGTAGCAACCCCCGCTGCCCCGCCCTTGCCTCCTAAGCCTAGGAAAAGTGCCTGCAGCTCTCTGTATTTTTTATCGAACTTTATTGTTGAGAGGAAACACTTTCAGAACACGATTCTCTCTCCAAAGTGTTGCGGACGGCTGAGCCTCCAGAGAGAGGTGACTGCCGGAATGACTGTAT